TTAAAAGGTGTGTCAGAATCAGTGAGACTGGCTCAGGACAGGGCAGACTTCAGAGCTGTTGCACATACAGCCGCTATGAGTTGCAAGTGACTTGATGGCACATAACAAGAGTGACGATTACTCTGTCCGGGACCAGACCAACCCAAGAACAAGCCCCTTGTTGAGGTCCAGCATAGCCCAGGGAGGTGGCGGCTCCACCAAACACCAGTTGTGTGGCAGCAGAGAAGGGCCCTGGCTGTGCAAAGGACACTGAGGGTCTCACTTCACCTGTAAGACGGGGACCCTCATGCCTGCCTTTCCAGATTGTTCCGAGGACCACCTAGCATAGTGCAGTCCTTTGTCTTTTAAACTTGGAATTCCCAGGAAAGTGACGGAGCCACCTTCCCTCTCAGAGTGGGATCTTCAGGGGAAGATCCATCACCTTCAGCCCATTGTCTGCTTTCCTCAGACTGCAGAGTGTTTTAAACATTTCACATCCAGATATTCACTCTCTTGTGCTTTCTACCTCAGTTCCTTCTCTCTCTGTTCCTGCCTGGCCCCTGGGGTCACGACAGTTTGCAGCCCCCATCTCGGGCAGCCTCCTGAACCCCGTCCTCTGCCAGCTGGACTTCCGGAGAGAGCTGGGCGGCTGCAGCCAGTTAGAAGTGGGAGGCCAAGGTGCCCTCGATTCGTAATGGAAGGTCACTGAGCACATCTCAGAAGCCAGGCTTTCCATTATGAAAGCCAGATGCTCACCTTCTGGCCGTGCTGTCCTAGAAGGATTTCCCCCTACCCTGTGCCCCCTCCGATGTCTTTAACGGAGAGTGTTTCGGTCTCACCAGATTTTTCCAAGTCGGTGCTTGGGCAGGCCTCGTCATTGAAGGCTGCCCGGGCTGTGCTTTCCAACCAGCGATCCCCTGATTAATTCTCAGCACACGCTTGCTCTGTGCCTCTGCTGAGCAGAGAACACGTCGGCGTAAACACGGAAGGAGCGCTCTGAGAGTCAGCTCTGCTGACCGCGTGCCCTCCTGCAGTTGTGTGATTGAAGTCCGGTTCCTCAGGTGGCCCCGGCCTGATGGGCCTTTGAAGTCACTGTGAAGCCTCAATTACTTGGAGGTTGCTCCCCTGGCTTTCAAGGGGGAGCAGGGAAGTACAGGTGGGCACCCTCTAGGATCTTGGGTCCCACATCCTCAGAAGGAACTCTGAGGGCATAGTCCATCCTGAGTTGCCCTGCTGACCCGAAGGCCCAGCCTCTCCAGCGGTTCCGACCGTCCGGCACCGGCTCCAGAGGAGAAAGATAGCAGTCTCCTCCCGTGCAGTTGACAGCCTTACAGACCTGCAAGAGGGTCAGCTATGAGTCAGTTATGACTGGATGGCAATGGGAGTGAGCGAGAGATCCCAAACGCAGATCAGAAGCCACTGATAATTGATCTCAGAGTGAAGCCAGCAAGCGCCAATTTTCTATCAGGTGTGTTGTCAGAATACCGTCAGAGAGCAGGGCTGCCCTGAGAGGATTATTAATCCCGGAGTCATTGTTGTGTGCCCGCTGGGTGTCAGACACCTGCTAGGCCCTTGAGCGGGGCCCCTGCTGCTTTGACGCTTCCCTTTGAGTAAGTAGAAAAGCTGATAAGCAGTGTCATTGCAGAGCTGAGGACATAAAAGCGGGATGGGATAGAGGAGCAGGAGCAGCAGGGCAGGGGCCACTCCCCAGGGAGATAGAGAGTGGGCAGGGAGGGTCCCTGAGGGCAGGGAGGAGTCAGGCCAGCGGGTGCGCAGGTGCAGGGCAGGAGCGGGGAGCAAGGTGAGACCCCTGTGCTCTGTCAACAGAGAACAAGGGAGGTGGGGTGTGACAGCAGCTGAGCTCAGAGGGGGCTGCAGTGCTGTGTCTGTCATTTGAGAATGAAGGGACCCCCAAAGGAGCCAGGTTTACTCTTGGGGGCAGTAGGAGGTCACTGGGAAGCTTTAAGCAAAGGGGCTGCCATAGTCCAGGTTAAAACCGTCCTCTTGCTGCTCTGTAGAATTGGAGGGTGGTGGTGGTTGGTCAGAGTACAGAGTGGAAGCGGAGACCAGATAGGACATGCAGTTCTGGACGTCTCGGTCCTCCCTCTGGAGACACAGAGGGGTCCAGGCTGGGAGGCAGCAGAGTGCTGGGGAGAAGAGGGCAGACTTGGGAGAGGTTTTGGAGAGAGTATGTATGTCGGACTTGCTGGCCGGTTGGGTGTGTGGATAAACGGGTGTGAGAGGCCCCAAGGAGAGGACTGCTAGGTGTCTGACACTTGGAGGGTGGGACCATTTCTGTTTGGAGAAAATGAGTTTCCGGTTTGGGCCTCTTGAGATTGGGAGGTCTGCTAGATGTCGGAGAAGAGAGGTCAGGGCCCTGTGGGGAGGACAGAGTTGGAAATGACCGGCAGTGACCAATGCAAAGGTTGAGCCTTGATGAGGGGCTCTTCACATCTAGTAAGAGGGGTCAGAAGGTCCCAGTGGAACCCTGGAGCACGAGCTTCAGAGCCACTCACAAGGGAGTTGAGGAGGTGCAGCCTCTTAGCAAGAGGAGACAGCAGGAAAGCCAGGGACACAGAGGACAGGAGCTCGCAAGGAAGAAGGGTGGCTGACTTCACAGCATGTCGCCGAAGCTGTGGTTCTGTCCCTTGCGGCCGGAAGAGCCAGTCTTGGAAAAAAGTGGGGTTTTTAATAGATAACAGTACACAGGAGACAGGGCATGAGCTTCCTGAGTCTGTCTCGCCACCTTGGAGACTCTGGGGCTTACGTAGAGAAGGGGCAGGACAGCGGAGTGTGAGACGCTTTCACAGTATCTTCTCTCACGCAGGTGTCCTGGCCACTGGCCCCATCCCAGACTAGTTGGCTTGATCTTCTTTAGAGAAGATTGAAGAGGGAAAGGTGGGGAAGTATAGCTGGGCACCCTCTGAGATTTCATTGTTCCAGAGACGGTTGTAAGGAGCTGCACTCTCAGCCCAAAGGTGTGCGGTTCGAATCCACTAGCTGCTCTGCACTGGGATCCAAAGGAATGTAGTATTGATTAACACCACACCATAGAGGGACCTCAAAGTAATTATGTTGAGTGAGAGGAGCCAGGGCACTAAACACTGTATCATCGTGAGCCGCTGTCCACTCAGTCCCCAACCAGTGACAACGCCATGCGTATGACAAAGTTGGACCATGGTTGATCCAACAGCAGTGATCATAGAGTATTCATTGGCTGATTTTTCTAGTAGAGACCGCCAGACCTTTCTTCCTAGTCTTAGTCTGGAAGTTTCGCTGAGGGCTGCTCAGTATCGTAGCAACACACAAGACAAAGGAGTGATGTTTCCACATTAGGCACGTTGGTCAGGAATCAAACTGGCTCTCCTTGCATAGAAGGCGAGAATTCTGCTTGTTCACCACCACTGCTTCCCCATACTCTGCGTTGTTGTTGTTTTTATGTACCTTCGAGTCATAACTAATGCATAGCGACCCGCCAGCAGGTTTTCGGAGGCTGTAAATCACACAGGAGTTTGCCCAGCTTTCTCCTCAGGGCCCCTGGTGGATCCAGACCACATGCCTTTGGGTTGACAGGGCAGCTCCTTACCACTAGGCCACCGCAGAGCAGGCGTTTATATGGAAGTTCCAAAAAATGCAAAAGAATCTTTTGTCACAGACAGCACATTAGTGTCACCTGGGGATAGGGGGTGAAAGTGGGAAAGGGAGGGATTACAGAGGACCTTGTGGAACCTCTCAGGGCCGACGGGCTTGTTCATGGTCTTGCTGGTAGTGGTGATTTCATGCACGTATTCAAACTCACCAAACTATATATTCTAAATATGTACAGTGTGAGGAATGTATTATATTCCTCATAAAGGTAAAAAAATGTTTTACTGTTAGAGGAACAGTAGCGGGAAGGAGGTGTGATTTTATTCCAGGCATGAACAGAGAAGCGTTGAATAATTGCGTGAATCAGGACACAGAAGCTTGACAGGCCTTTTGTGTAGATTACCGCAGGTCCTGCCAAGGAGTTTGGAATTCGTCCCAGCAGCCCGAGGGTCTCCACCTTAATGTGCAAAGAATCATCTGGAAAACTTGCGGTGACACAGAGATCCCCTAGCAGGGCCATCCACTCACCCTCTAGCCCTGCTCCCAGGTCGGCCCAGCCCCTCAGCTTACCTCTGGTTATAGATAGGGGGCTACCTAGGCCTACAGATCGCTCACCCCCAAGAGCTCAGCTCCTTCACAAGGCTTTGGGGCTGGAGGAGAGCCTAGACTCTGGGGGCAACCTCCACACACTGGGTGAACGCCCGAGCTTCTGGAAATCTGACAATCTTGAGGCGCACTTAGTGTGGTGTACATCTTCAAGGGCCCCAAAAGAGGGGAACCTCAAGTCCCCCTCCCCACAGCAGAAGGAGGTCAAATATTTTGGGAGCTTTCTCCTGCCCTGCATTGCTCTTCCCATATCCTCTTGGGGTCACCTGTCAGATTAAGCACCTGCACCCACTGGCCTCTGGCTCTGCATTCAAGGCACCAGACAGAGGACACCTGGGCACCTGAGGAATCTAGGTACCCTGTGCCCAGCGGGCTTTTCTGATGAAGTTTAAAAAAAAAAAAAACACCAAAAAACCCAAAACCAAAAACAACAACGGAAAGCTCTGAAGAATTTTACAGAGTGTGGGACGTAGAAAATGAACTCAGGTCGGAGCGTGAAGCTGAGATTGAGGCAGCCAGACAGGAAGCAGGAAACCAATTAGCAGGCCATCCCAGACATCCCAGCAGCAGGTGACGATGACGGAGACAGCGACTGCGGTTGTCTTTTGTGAAGGCCCTTTGATTGATAGGGTATGTAACAGTTCACACAGAACACAATTCAACCTTATTTCACATCCTCAGGGCTGCGGTGGAATAAAGCTCACGTTTCTAGCATTTCACGGTTTCCTTTTCAGTATCTTCCCCTAACAAGATTTGATACATCCATCTGAAACATCTTGGTTTGTTGTTTTAATTTTCTTTTTCCCCTCCAAATTTTATGGTTTCAGGATCTTGACATTAGTGCCAAGGACGTGAAGCTCTATGTCAACAAAGCCCTCGTCTTCGATGGCAAGTTAGACAGAGGTGGCGGAGAGGCTCCATTTACCCGGAGCATCCCAGTGCACCTGAAGGACAGGAGGATGGAGGATGCCAGCAGTGCCCCCTCGGGAGAGAGCAAAGATGCCCGCATGATGCCTGGGGCCGACGGGGACAGAGAGCTCCGTCCAAGTTGCTCACCATCAGCTGGAACACTACTGGATGTGAAGGTTTCTTCACAAGGAAATCTGTGTGGAGAAAGGGTGAATTCTACAAATTGCACAAAGGACAAGTGGTCCGAGTTGGAGGAGGATTTGAGACTGTTAGCTGCCCCCGTTGTGATGGGTGACATCCCCAGGGACCCCCGCCCCTCCCCACCTGAGAAACACCTTTCTCCCGATGAGGAACTCTCTCTCCTCGAGCAACTGGAACACCTCATGGGCAGGAACACCTCTCGGCTGCCAGAGAAAACCCCATCCTGGTTACAGCCTTCTCCCAAAGAGAGAGGCCGGAAGCAAGGCGGCAGGAAGCCCAAACCCCCCTGGCTTAGTCCCGAGCGGCCACAGAGCTGGAAAGACCAGCTTCTGTCAAACGAAGGTGTCCGTGCGGGTGTTGGAGACACCGTGGCTGGAGATGAGGGCAGCAGGCGTGAACAGGAGTGGACGGGCAGCTGGAACATCGTCACCAGCGACAGACCCCAGAAGGTGACCCCCAGAGCCTGTGAGCCTGACTTAGACATCTTTAACGTGCCATCCAGCAGAGGGCGCCCTGCGAGTGGAAGGAGAAGCGGGAGGAAGGATGCCCTGAGCGGTAGTCATGGTGACGACCAGCCCGCCAGCACAGGTAAGCGCCCAGGAGCCGTCCCATCCAGTTAAGCCATCATCCTTGTGTGAGGGCCAGTAACGGGCTCAAAGTCAGTCACACCTTGGCTCTCAGTTTCCCCATCTGGAAAACAAGTTGTTTTCAACTGGGGCGGGGGTCACAAATGTGTTGTCTCGGAGGCTAGAGAGATGCCAAAAACAGATACAGTAAGTACACCACACTTTACATGTTAAAGTCATAGATTTCTTTGTCACTGCTAACAACATGTGTCCCTTTGCCCATTTCCCTTGTCACACCTGTCCTTTTCAATCTAGGCTTTCCTACTCTGCATTTGATAAGACATTGGTGCCTAAATTACTCCACTTTATTCTTAACTGAGCCATTAAAAAGCAGGGCTAGTGTATTGATAAGCAGTCCATGACGTTTTCCCGAGTGTCACAAGGGCAACAGGGAGTGGAGTGCCCAACGCAGGTGAAGGAGACAGCTGCACTCAGGACCCTGGGATGCAAGAAATGGGCTGGCATACCTGCCCCTTTGGTCTGGAGAATCTACAGGTGTGAATCGCTCCCGTCTGCAACACTGGAAAATGATTCCAGTTGTATTTAAACCCCCGTGTGAGTAAAAAAGCAGGTACCTTGTCAGTACAGTGGTTAAGTCCTCAACTGCAAACATCAGTGATGCAAACTCATCACCCACTCCATGGGGTAAAGATGGGGTCTGCCTGTGCTGCTGTAAAAATGGCAGGCTTGGAAATCCTAGGAGGCTCTTTTACTCTGTCCTGGAGGACTGCTGTGGGTCACAATCAATGACAGGTACAGGTTTGATGTGTTATGTTGTTGGATTTAAAAAAAAAAGAATGAAGGAAGGAAAGAAAAAAACCATGCCTGCTGGCCAGGCTCGGGCTCACCTTGAGAGCTGTCTGAACTTTGCAGTAGATTATTTCTAAAGGCCTTTTCAGTGTGAGATGAGAGGACCAAAGGCTGGGATTCAGCATATTTGCACTCAGATTTGCCGCCTGGGAAGGAGTGTGGCAGAGCATTTAGGATTCTTGGGTCCTTTCAATCTGGTACTTCTAGAGCTGCGGGCTCTGGCAGGACATGCCCACTTTGTGAACCTCAGCGTTGCCATCTGTGAAATGAGAATGAACACCCTCCCTCTTGGTGTGAGGGGTGAATCGAACGATGACTTTGCGGTAGTAACGTCAAGCCCGTCATGTGGCTTTAGGGAGCTCCGATGGCCTAGTGGTAAGAAGCTGCACTGTAATCCCAAAGGCGTGTGGTTCAAAACTACCAGCTGCTCTGTGGGAGAAGGATGGGTACTTGCTTTGCAATTTATTGAAAAAAAATTTACTTTGAAAACCCGCTGGAGGATCAGCTGTGGATTGGTTCTGACTCGACAACACAGCAACCACAGCATATACCGTTCACCCTCTGCCAGTCACTCAGCCCTTCCAGGCTGGAATGTCACCCCCTCACTCATGCTTAGAAGCATAGACTCTGGAATCAGGCTGCTCAGGTGGGGGTCCAGCTTCCCCTGCACCTAACCCACAAGGTGGGCAAGAGCTCATCTTTCTTACCTCTAAATGATGCTAACGAGACCCATCTCATGAGGGTGTTAGGATTGATAAGATAATGCGTGTGTAGCATTTGACACAGTGCCCAGGACCTAGGAGCACCCTATGGATAGTTGTTTCTCTACACTGAGGGCTATATTATTTTGTTAGGAATCATTTCAAAATATACTCTTATTAGTGCTTAGTAGACAGACCCCAAAGGTCAGCATTCAAGTTCCAGTCTACATTCAGAAATGTTGTTGTTGTTAAGTGCCGTCGAGTCGCAGGTGACTCATAGCGACCCTATGAAGGAGAGTCCTTGACGCTTGGGTGCCTTTCATCCTCTCTCCAAGTTCATAGGGTTTCTGGAGGCAAGCTATTACGGAAGTGGATGCCACTCTTCCAGGGAGGGTTTATTCAGACCCTAGATAGGTCACCTGGAATCGAGAGTAAGGCCCCCAGACTCCTAGTTCCAAGGGGGCCTTAATCACTTTCTCTAGTTTTACATACTCCTGCCCCTTATGCCTACTAAGAATGAACCCTGAAACTGAGTATGAGGGAGAAAACTGAGTGAGAGGGAAGGTTCTCTCTGAGGACCATGCGCCCCCAGCCCAGGGTCCAGCCTGGTGGACGCCCCCTGTAGTGTGGGAGAGGTTGGTGAGGGGGAATTCGAGGCATTGGGCCTGCTTGCCCTAAGTCAGGGTCTGGCAGGTTTAAGTAACCGTCCTCGAGCTGCACAGCAAGTGGGGTTCACAGCAGAATGTGAACCCAGTGGTTCTGCCATTAAAAGATCCCAGCGGTGTCGTGTGCTGGTCCTTTCCTGCTGGTCCTGCACCTAACATCTGCCAGGTGGGACGACTTCCCTCTGGTGCTCTGTTCCCATGGCCGCAGCCAGCTTCCCTGGTGACAGAGCTGGAGGCATCTGGGAGGCTCTGAGGCGCTGGGCATTTTTCTAGCCTGTTCGAGTTCAGAAGACTCTGTTTCACTTTCCTTCCTTTCCAGGCATTTCGCTGCTCAGCTCAATAACACATTAAGAACGGAGCCTTTGGGATTTAATGCCTGTTAAGCCAGCCGTGCTGAGCAAAGAAAGGTTGCTTAGAAATGTTTAAATTGCCCATCACACGGACCCGAAGCTCGGAGCCAAGCCCTCCACGGATGCTCGCCTCCTTTCTGGGGTCCAAAGCCCTCCTGACTGGCAGAGCCCCTTACTGTGATGGCATCTGCGTCTTGAGGGGGGGGGCGTGGTGTTCTCATCAGGGATCACGAGGCCACAGGTGGATGGAATCTACTTTGAGTTCCCCCAACACTAGACCCAGTACTCTACTGTTCTGACTCACGGGGACTCTGTGAACCTATAGGACAGAGTTGAATGGCCGTTGTTGTTGTTGTTGTTGTTGTCATGTACCGTAGTGTTGGAACCAACCCATAGCTGACCCTCTGGTGAGTTTTCAGAGTCAGTTACTGACATGGGAGGAGATTGCCCACCCTTCTCCCGCAGAGCAGCTGGTAGCCTCAAACCGCATACCTTTGGTATCAGTGCAGCTTCTTGCCACTAGGCTACTGGAGGGTTCTGAAAGCTGTAATCGCTACAGAAGCGGACTACCGTCTTTCTATAGATTTGATTCACTGGCAATTCAGTTAGCGCCAGGCACTTACCCACTGTCCCACCAAGGCTCCTTTTGAGCAGTTAAGGGGTGTCCTTTGGAGAGTGCTAAGGACCTCCTCAGGGAGCTCAGGTGGCCTAGTGGTAAAGGAGCTGCACTGCCAAACCGAAGGCAGACAGTTCGAATCCACCAGCTGTATCATGGGACGGGCAGTCTCCTCTCATGTCGTTCACTCCCTCTGCAAACCTTCCAGAGGATCGGCCGTGAGTCAGTGTTCACTTGACGCTGCCAAACAAGACAGGAGGTGGAGCTGCTCATGACAGAGGCTGGAAGGAGAAGTTAGAACCAGCAGAAGGGAGCGCTGCCCTCTCTCTTCAGGTTTGCTGGGCCTTGCCTCAGCTTCCCTCCTGGTCCAGTGCCCTTGCCCACCCTCGCACCATGGGGAGTGACCGCACTGCCCGAGGCTGGCCCTGTTTTTCCAGCTCTCGCTTGGCCACCAGCTCCACAGTCTCAGGGGAGAAGCTGATTGGCCTCCCCAGGTCATGTGGCCATGCCTTGTCCTCCCAGCCTTGGCTGGGGGGCAGCTCATCTAGAACAAGCATGGCTCTGTGAGACCTTAGTGCTTTTTAATCTCCTATTTTAGTGCCTCATGGTGGTGCCATTGATTTTTGTAAAAGTAGGCTTAGAACTTCATCGTTTATATTAGTCCCAACCGAAGGATGTTTTCGAATCGCCTTTCCCATCATCCGCTAACTGGTGGTCTGCCTCAGATTTATGTTGACTGTTAACTGAAGCCGCAGCTTTCTGAGATTGGTTCGAAGCTGTGGATCGAGTTCTGGGCACAGACAGGGTCAAGGACTGATTCCAGCTGCTTCCCAGACCCCCAGATACTCCGAGCAGTGTTTTTTCCTACAGGCAGAGGGAATCACAGCCGGCCACCTGCTGCTCCATCCGAGAAGTCCAGAGGCAAGTTGGCACTCTGGACCAGGGCCAGAAACCTCTGTTTTTCAAAGAGGTTTGGGTGCAGGGCAAAAACCCATCTGTTTTTAAAACCCAGAGTGACAGCTTGGAAAGAGCAGGTCAGAAAGCAGATTCAGAATGAGAAGGACAAGATCCTGAGTTCCCAGTGCACCCGGGCAGAGAAGCTCAGGCAAGGGCCCGTCACAGGACGGTCAGCACCTTCTTCTTGGTGCAGCGCAGCCCAGGTGCTAGTTTCATCCCATAGAGAATTATCTCATATGCTGGAGCCATGGTCATCCATGTGGAGGATTTGTCAGCCACAGGTTAGGCTGTAGAACTGGGAGGAGACGGTGGAAGGAAACCTCTAGAATCTTTTTAATGGCAGATATGAGGGAGGTGAAGGAGAGGAATGTACAGGGGGACAGGTGGAGGGGAGAATCAGTTCGCCTCCAAGTGTAGACCCCACGGTCGAGTAATAGTAGTGCCTGCCATTCATGCATTCACTAGACAAACATTTGTTGAGAACTTCTGTGCCAGGCACAAAGAGTCCAACAGGGAACAAGGCCCCCTGGGTACCTGCTCTCTGGGAACTTCAGTTCCTGGGGAGAAACTGACAATACAGAAAACAAACCAGGATATTGTGAGGAAACGGTGGGGAGCATAGTCCAGGAGATGGGGAGACAAATCGCCGCCAGCTAAGTGGGCCCTGAGATTCCACCTTGGCAGGTAGGGAGTCAGAGTTTGTTAGGCTCAATGTGGTATAAATAATGCCAAGGGGAGGGTTTGATGGCAAGCTTCTTCAGTCACATGGAGTGTGAAGTGACTCGGGTGCATCCAGGTGGACAAGTTTAAGGCATTGTTAGGCTTAATAGATGGGACCCAGGGGAGAAAAGTAGACCTTGATGGATGGAGTTTAGCACTGGTTGCCTGGGAGCTGAGTGAGGCCCGGAGGAATGGCGGTTGTTGGGAGAGGACTGAGTGGAGCTGGGGTTTAGGCTCGGAACACATCCAGGCCTTGGGGCAGGGAGGAGGGGGCTAGTGTGGTAGGAAAAGAAGGTGCTTCCAGGAGGGGACATGGAGAACTGGGAAGGCATGGGGTCACCTAGACCAGCAGATGGAATGCCAAGTTTGCCTGGGCTATTGAAAGTTTTGTGGATTGAGGCCTGAGAACAGATAGGAGAAGTCCACCTCAGTGCCTGTCTGTGGGAGTCATGTGGATCTAAAGGGCAGAAAGCCACCAGGGCTGGCATCAGGCATGGCTGGATCCAGAAGCTCAGATGATGCACAGAAAATCTCTGTCCATGCCTCGGCTCACGCTCCCCATGCTGGCTTCATTCTCAGACTCTCCCCGCATGCTGGCCGCCGTCAGCTCCTCATCTACATCCGGCAGCTTAACCTTGCCGATTTCCAGCAAGCCCCCTTTCTCATGGCAGCTTTCACAGACACAGCTTGAGGGATGCGGTTAGCATCCACCCATTTGGGATTTCCAAAGGAAAACCACGTTGTATTCCCCCGGGGAAGAGAACGTGACATCTGAGTGGGTAAAACAATGTCATTACAGACAGGAGTGTTTGCAGAGCCTCAGCACTGTCGGATGTCTGCAGAGAAAGGTGGGGAGGAAATAGGACTGTGTTTGGCAGAGACCACAAGGCAGGTTGGTTTCGTTTTTCCCTTTCTGTTCACTAGGACAGATTTATGCATGTCTGCAGGCAGAGAGGGGAAGGTGCCAGTGGGGAAGGAGTGATTGAAGATTCTGGAGAGAGGAGATAATTGATGGAGCCAGGCCCCCTAGGAGACAGGCAGGAAATGGAGTGCAGGCCACCGCACGGTACGAAAGGAGGAAAAACAGAATGTCAGTGTCATCGGCTGCTGTTTTCCCAGAGTGACACCCGTTAGGAGGCTGTGAGCCATGGCCTGTCTGTGAGGACAGGCAACTGCCTAGTGTGCTCACCAGAGCCTCTCTGTTCTGGACAGAGGAGAGAGGGCCATCAGCATTGTCCCGCCGAGGGCCAAGCGACGTCCTCGAGATGCCCAGGATACAAACTGCTGCCCTTGGAGCCAATTTCAGCCACAAGCAGGAGTGAATTCCTTTCATTACCTGGTGCAGTTGAAACACAAGTACCACAAGGGGGTGGCTTTACAGAGCAGAGATTTATTTTCTCATAATTTTGCAGGCTAAAGGTCATGGTTGTGTCTGTTTCTTCCTTGTCAATAGCCTGAGGCTTTCCTTGACTTATACATGAGCCTCACGGGGGTGGGGTGGGGGTCTCTCCTCCCCAGGTGCCTCAGTGTCCATTCTTCTTTTTTTATAACTCAAAGTGATTGCATTCTGAGTCAGAAAGTCAGCAGTTCAATTCCACTAATTGATCCTTGGGAGAAAGATAGGCAGTCTCCCCCTCAGATTCACAGTCACGGAAACCCAATAGAGTACGTTATGTGTTAGAATCAACTCACTGGCAGTGAGCTTGATTTTTTTTCCACCTACCCAGCTTTGGACTAATTAACATCAAAGCACCATTTCCAAGCAAAGTCATATTTAAGCTATTTTTATAAAAAAATATCTCAAACCCATTGTCAGTTGTGGAGTCAGTTATGACACTCGGTGGCCCTCCACCAGATTTCCTATGTTGTAAATCTTTACAGGAGACTGCCTGTCTGTCTCCCTCCAAGCAGCTCTTGGATTAGAACTGTTGGACTTTTAGTTAGCAGCTCAGTAAGTTATAAAGGCAGAGCTACAGAACTTATTTAAGGTATCGGGGGCCAATATTTCAATGCCTATGTTTAGAGCATATTTTTTAAGATAAAATTTAATCCATATACTTAACCTCAATCAGAGTTGGGTCATTTACTTTTTTAAAATAACATGTTCTTCCTAAATATGAAGGTAATACAAGTTCCGTCTAGAAAACCTAGAAATTAGAGTTGCAAAGAAAAAAATAAAAGTCCTTCTTACCCACCCCCCCCTTCAGAAATAGCCACTGTTTGCACATTGTTGTGTGTAACTCACACTAAAATGACACAGCTGGGTGCTCTGGCTTCAACACTCTGCCATTAAACAGTCTTTGAAAGCACCTGGATCCTGTGACTGTGACAGCCTCAAATACACATACTGCGTCACCGTGAGCTGCTCAAAGGTCCAGCAGCCACATTGCCACCAGTCAGGTGAGTTCTGAGCTGGTCAGTGACCTCTGGTAAAGTTTCTGGGGAAAGAAACAAAACAGTCTTCCTTAGATTTGCATGGTAGTTGCATTCTTCAGAATTTCTAAATCTACGGAGGGAAGTGACTTTGTGCTGTGTGAAACAGCACACAGTGACTGTGTGACAGTGGGCTTGGACATAGTGGAGATGACGGAGACGGCGCGGGATAGGGCAGGATTTCAGTCTCTTGTTTGTAGGGTTGTTAGAAGTCACAGTCCACTGACTCGCTAGCACCTAACAGACTTAGGCCGCCAGGAACAGATTTTTTTTCCTGATGTGAGTTGTGTGAACCTCCAGAACGTAATTGGTAACTGACTGTCCTATGCTTGAAGGTTGGTGGCATCCCTGTCGCATCTCACTAGCTGTCAGTAGGGCCTCCCTAGCCCTGAGACAGCCAAGAACAGACTGTCCCCCCTCCTCCCAGTTTCCAGAATGTCCCTGGAGGCCGGCCCTTCAGGCCTGGGAGCCGCAGGGTGAGCTGGGGTCCAAGGTCTCCACTTAGCCACACGGCCCTCATTTGCATGTGCTTTCTTCCAGAAGAGGCCTTGTCCGCCCGCATGCCGCCACGTCCCCGGTGGCGCAGCGAACAGGAGCACCTGCTTCACGAGTCCTGGAACTCCCTCAGCGCCTTTGACCTCTCCCACCGGGGCCGCATCTCCAACATGGACTTCCAGGGGGACGTCATGGACGAGTTCCTGCAGCAGCAGCAAAGCAGCCGGCAGAGTGACCTCTCACCCTTCCAGAAGGGGGAAAAGCCTGAGCCGCTGCAGGGCCAGGATGACGGCGCCATCGAGGCGGACGACGGCAGTGACTTCAGAATCCCCGTCCTACCGTATGGACAGCACCTGGTCATCGACATCAAGTCAACATGGGGGGACCGACACTATGTGGGCCTCAACGGAATAGAGATATTCAGTTCCAAGGGCGAGCCCGTGCAGGTCCTGAGCATCCGAGCAGACCCCCCTGACATCAACATCTTGCCAGCATATGGCAGAGACCCCCGTGTGGTCACCAACCTCACCGACGGGGTGAACAGGACCCAGGACGACATGCACGTCTGGCTGGCCCCCTTCACGCCAGGCAGATCCCACTCCATTACTATTGACTTCGTGCACCCTTGCCAGGTGGCCCTGATCAGAGTGTGGAATTACAACAAATCGCGGATCCATTCTTTTCGCGGCGTGAAGGACATCACAATGCTGCTGGACGAAGAGTGTATCTTTAAAGGAGAGATCGCCAAGGCGTCCGGAACCCTGAGTGGAGGTACAGTATGTCTGTGGGCTGCCCTTGACCGCTGCTCCCTGAGGCTGGGAGGGATAAACAAACCACCAGCGAGTCACTGACTAGTAAGCCTGGCCTCCTTCCCATCCCCGGTCTGCCGCTCGCGCTCTGGTGGCCTGCTAACCCACAGGTCGTGTGTTGCCGATGATTCAAGTCCACTAGATGCTTCTGGGGAGGAAGATGGGCCCTCTCCTCCCATTGCAGATGATTTATTGAAGCCATGCTCTCAGGAGAAATATGTAGCACAGTGAGTGAAAGGGTGTGGAATGTGGAGAAGCCAGTTAAGTTAGGGCTGTAGGGGAAGCCTAGCCCAGTCTGGGCTCTAAGGCATCACCTGCAGGGCTTGTCCTGCCTTAAGGCAGAGGAACAGGGCTTCTGTAACCCTGTAACCTGTCAAGCATTGGCATCAGGATCCCCAGAGCCCCCCTAGACAAAGTCCCCTGTTAAAGGGACTAGCAGGGTCTTAGGGGGCACCAGCTGCATCTGCTACAGTGTCTCAGTCACACCTGAGAATTGTCACTTGTTTGGTGACAAGTCACAGTGATTCTCTTTAGGTTAGATTCTCTTTCAGTAGACTCAGCATGGTTCTTGGAGTCCTAGGATTCCATTTGCAAACACCAGAAAAAAAAATAAAATACAAAGACTCACAAATCAAAACCTGTCAGTGATGGAGGAGGACGTTATAGCACACAGGTTGACAGATCCCAGGGCTTTGGGGTGAGTTCACTCTTGGCCTTCCTGGCAAACCTCTCAGCCCCAGAGCACTTTGGAGACACGATCTTATTCACGACTGACGACGACATCCTGGAGGCCATCTACTGCTCTGATGAGACCCTAGACCTGGAGGTGGAGAGTGTCTGCAGCCTACAGCACGAGGAGGCGCTGCGGAGACCCAGCACGGCGGACGGCGAGAGTGATGACCGGCCCTTCACCCAGGCCGGCCTGTGGGCTGACGACCAGGTAGGCCGGGATGGGAGCCGGCAGGAGCGAGGGTCGGAGGAGTGGTGGGCTGGCCATGCCTCAAGATTGTTTCAGAGCTGGGAGAACTAGCATGAATATTCTCTAAGCTCTTCAAGCAACTGTTTTGACATTTCTCATTTTTTTTTAAAAAAAAATTTCATTTTCTATCCTTTTTGTGATATTTCATTCTCTAATATTATTATTATTATTATTTTAACCATAGCAGGGGAAAAGAAGTATTCAAATTTTAATCAAAGCCAAGAGAAGTCAGCTCCATGTCATCTTTGAAAGTCGGAGGTTGGCAGGCTCAGGAATTTTTAGCTTTTGGGTTGCATTTTGATCATTCCCTGTTGTTTTTGATGGGAACATTGGAAATTCTTTTAATTGGCAGACTTAGAACCGAAATAGTGATCATCGCTGTTGGCGTTTATGAGCGTGTATTATGATCCAAGCATCGTGCACAAGGACTGCCAGGTGTAACCCACACAGCAGTCTGAGTGGAAACGAAGCACTCCCATTTAGGAAATTGAGGTTCAGATGTCAAAGAAAAACATTTCTGTTGGGAGTAAAGAAACTCTGTTAGGAGTAAAAGAAAAAGGAGTTTCACTGAGGAGTAACAGTTGAAGCTGGGCAAAGCTAAGTAAAGACGCAAAGCGCTCCGCTGTCCGTATCACGTGAGAAATGTTCACACATAAAGAACAAAGGGAAATAGAGGTTGATGGTTGGTTCCGCTTGACCTTTGGAATGCTTTGAATTGTAGTTCACCATTTGGACAGAAAGGAGTGGGTGTTATTCCCTAGATGAATTACACCTAACAATTTGGTTATGCACATTTTCCCTAGAAACATGCTGTTTACACCCTGAATGTGGACCCACCATTCCTTCCCTGAGATTGTTGTTATGTGCCCATCAAGTTGACTGTGATTCCCAGCAACACTGTGAACAACGTAATTGAACCTTGCCTTGTCCTGCACCATCCTCTCCAGCTCACTCCAAGCCCATTGTCACGGTCACTGTGTCAATCCACCTCGTTGAGGGTCGTCTTCTCTTTGACCCTCCACCTTTTTCAGAATGATGTCTTTTTTCCAAGTACTGGCCCCCTCCTGATATTGTGTCCAAAGTCTGTGAGATGAAGTTTCACCATTCTTGCCTCTAAGGAACATCATGGTTGCACTTTTCCTAAGATGTGTTTGTTCTTTGGGCAGTTTATGATATAGTCAATGCTTTTTCTCCAACACCATGATCCAAAAATATCAGTAGTTGTTGTTGTGTGCTTTTGAGTTGAAACCAACCCATAGCTGACCCTCCAGCAGGTTGTCAGAGACGGTAAATTGCACAGGAGATTGTCCATCCATTTCCCCTGGAGGAGTTAGTGAACTCAAACCGCGTGCCTTTGGGATTGCAGTGCAGCTCCTTACCACTAGGCCACCAGAGCCCAAAAGTTTCCATTAGTGCCTCATATATGAAAATGTCTATTTGCATATTTCTCTCTTTTGGTCAAATGTCTGCTTGGGAGCACTCACTGATCACTTATAATGGACTGGCCTTTCTTTTGCAAAGACTCTTGTTTTCTTGAGGAATTTTTATTTTAAAAAAAATTATTTCCTTCACCTTGCCGAGATTATTATAGGTCTCATCTCCAGAGTGAGCAGGTTTTATGGAAAAAGCATTCTGACAGACAAAACCACATTTGAGGACTATTTTTTAGTCAGGATAGTACAACAGAAACATGTGACCACTGGAGAAAGTCTGTGAAACCAGCAAGGTTTTTTGTGAAGAGTCTAATGGTTTTGATATACAACATTTAATGGATGAAACGGGTTGAGTCAAAGCAAAAATAGCATTTCATAGTTGCAACAGTAGAAATCAAGAGAAAGCTAAAGATTCCAAAGTACAGTACAATTTTTTATCCCCCACCCTCAACTCCAAGGGAAAATCCAATTACTTAAAATATCAATTAAGGAAGGGGCAAGATCATTAAAAAAAGATAATGCACATTACAGCTGATTAACATAGCCTATAATATTAGCACCATTTCCAGAAATAGGGACACAGTGGTCAGATTTTATTATAGCACAGGCACCTCCCTGGGCTGCAGGTAGATGGCCAAGATCCATTTTGATACTGATTTCTTGAACTCGGAGTATTGCCTTTTAGGGCAGTTTGTATATACTGCAAAGCTTGTAGTAATATTAGTATGTTATTACATTTACAGTCTAATATTTGTTTATCAAAGATTATATTTCCCAAAAGATATTTTTAAAAAATACCACATTAAACACTGGAAAACACTGGGAAAGAACTCATGAAATATTATAGTAATATTATAAATATATTAAATATCTCAGTCACAAAAAAATACAGCATAATGCCACTGTTATAAAACAGGACTGACATGGGGGATGGGGCAAACTAAGAAAGGAGGGGATAAATAATCTACATGACATTGAAACAGATGAGGGAGAGAACTGGATAAAAGGAATATGTGATTAGGCATTATTGGCATGCCAAGAGTCCAGAGTAAGAGCTGAATAGTAAAGTGGTCTGGAGTCAGGGTGGGGGACTGTATGACAATGAAAGAACTTTTTTCCACAAAGAAAAAAGCAATCTAGGGGTGAGGGGGGACAGGGAAGAAAATGTAGAACAATGAAGGATTGGAAACCCAGGTCCTTTATAAACTTTCATTAAAATCTCAATTAAAAAATAAATTAAAAAAATACTGCATTGAAGACTGGCAATAATACTTTAGTATTTCAGCTTGAACACTGTCAGGGACAGTGTAGGTGACCAAGGAAGAACAAGGGCCTCTATTTCATAGAGGATAAGTTTGTGAGATTCAAAGAGTGTGTATTTAGGTCAGGATAAATTTACAGTTTAACTAGCTTTATCATTTGGGTTTTTACTATTCTCTTTGTGTTCTCCATTTGACTAGAAGATTGTGGACGATGGAGCAATGTAGCCTTTGATAAATGGTAAAAACTCAAGCTAGTTAGTTCTTGGATGATTTGATGGTGAAATGAGTTCCCCAGTCACTATTGTTGCCAATGTGAATATGACGTTTTGGAGACATTTCTTTGCTACAGAGGTTCCAGCAGCATAAAAGCGGGGAAGCCTTCAACTCCCATGTTAAAACCTGAATCATTACTAATGTTTATATGTAACCATTTGCGAGTAGAAATTGAATAAAATCTAGCTGCTGCTACTTAAGCATAGACCCAGAAGATAAAGAGTATTGTCCGGGTAGGAGTTTAAAGTAGCTGCAATCCCAAGACTGAAGCCAGAGCAGAGAAGACAATGGATAGAAACATGTTTGAAAGCCTTGGGGGGGGGGGGAATCCCTACTGATAGATTTTTAAGATCCCACTAATTTCTTCTTGTCTCGTGTGGGAACCTTGATGTAAAGTTTGTGTCATAGGTAAGCCTGTCTTTCGTTAGGCCCAATCCACAATTTAGTGGCAGGATCTTAGGAACAGCCTGCATTTTTCAGTTCCTTAATTTAGTCTGTCTGTCTGTCTGGGCTAATTATTTGGTATTTGAAGTTTTTCTAAAGCTAATTCACGAAGGTTGGAATTAGCAATAGACAAATCAGGAGAATCTCTTTTTCATTGTAGTTGTTCAGTTCTGTCAAGTTGAGCACGACTCATGGCAACCCTCTGAACAACAGATCTGAACCCCGTGTTATCCTGTGTCAACCTCATAATCTCTGACACACTTGAGGACATCAGTGCAATCATTGCTGTGTCGATACACCTGGTTGAGGGTCTTCCTCTTCTAAGTACATAAATAACCCAAGAGGCAGCCATATATTAGTCACATTAATCTCTCTAGTTGGAGGTACTCTTTTTGGATAATGAGCCTGTATTTTTATAATTATAGAGGAAAGTAACAGAGCATCTAGATCCGCTACTAATGCTCCATGCATTTCCAGAAGAGGCTTCAAGTTCTCTTTGTAATATTAGAAATCATGTGCAATTCCATAACATATCTATCTACTGTCTATAAGCATATTAACAAATTTTTCTAAATTAAATTCTACAAGCTGTAACAGGGACACTTTGATTTGTTAGACTGAAGCGACTTCAGTAAAAGTCACATCTGTGTATCCAGCTTAATAGGAGCATTAGGACCATTAGCACCAGGTTTTCAATAGGAAGCATCTGTAAGCAAACTCAGTCAAGATTAGTTAAAAGGGTCTCCTTTTGAGGCTTTTCAGGGAATTAACATTTTTCTCAGTCAGATTTGAGCAGTTGTGCATATGAGAGTTCTCATTTGTTGTGGGGACTAAAGGAACTGGGTTTAAATAGGCCACAAGAATGTAACCTAGTATCACATGCAGCCAGGAGGGAAACTTCACGGGAGGTGACTCTGCTGGTAGAAAGTTGCCATCAAGGTAGGATTAAGTAAGGCAGATGTAGCAAGGGCCACACATAGACTTCTAAAGTATTTGCCAATACCACAAGTGGTTTCCATCAGGTTAGCAGTAGCAGTCATGCAGAGAAAGCTACATCCTTTGGCTGTAAGGTCAAGGTACAGGCTATACACAGTATAACCTGCAGATCTCGACAGTCTTCCATGTGCTTGCGTTAGCACACATTTCCAAATGCTTTGTATCCAGTGAGGAAAAACCTTGGTGGTAATTAGGAAAACCTAGAGTGGACATGTTCATTGAAACTTCTTTTAATTGAATTCTAACCTATCAGTCATCTAGTGCATGGAAGAAATCCGACTCAAAAGTTTTTTAAATATATGTATGTAAATGTTGAGCCAACAAAGAAAAATTAGAAATCCATGTTCAACAGTCACTCCAGAGGTTGAAAAGCCCCTGTAGCAGTTTCTTTGTTTTAGATATAAGAAAGAGATGAGTTACTTCTTTCTGGTTAGGATCAATAGAAACACCTTTTGCAAAAGTTGTTAAGTGCTGTCGAGTCATAGGTGACTCATAGCGACCCTATGAATAAAAGATCTGAATAATTGTATAACTTTCATTGTTTCTCCAAGTTCATAGACTTTCCAGAGGCAAGTAATTTCAGAAGTGAATGCCACTCCTGCTTCCAAGCTTGTTTTAATCAGGGAGCTCCACCAAACACTGTCCACCATGGGTAACCATTATCACATTTGATGCATCAGTGCCACAGTGTTTAGCATCACAGCAACCACGAGTTACCTCTGTACAGCAAATGGACAGGCCAGTGCTATACTACTGAGAAGAATGTTTGACCAAAAACGATTAAAGCCAGGCCTGAAGGCCACAGATTAAAATCACCCACCTTTGACTTGCAAAAGTTAAATAGCCCAAATATTTATTTAACAGAAGACAGAGCTAATTGTAATTTTCTTTGTCCACTAGCAGCCATATGTTTTCATAAGACTTCTATTACCAAGGCAGGTCTGTTGAGAAATTGAAGAAGCATATTATAGCAATTTGGATTTTTAGTTGTAAAATTTAAAGGCTACAACTCAGCAGTAAATCCTTGGGGCATTACAGTTCAGATAATATTGATGTTTTTCCATGTAAAAGCAAACAAATAATAACTTTTGGAATGCACAGGACACTGAATGAGGGACTTAAGTTATCCACAATGGTAAAATAAATTGTATCCAAGGGGACATTGAAAAGTAATAAGTGATAATTAGAGGCTAATGGGAACCTAGGGATAACAATATATATTGTTTTAATCAATAATATTGATTGCGTGCAAATATTGAACACATATCCAACCTCTAATATCTTAGGATTTTTAGGGTTTTTTACTAGGAAGATGAGAATATTACAAAGGCTAGTACAAGGGAAAATTAAATCTTTAGAAAAGAAATCATGTATGATGGAAGCTAATCCTTTTGCTTCTCTTTTGAATGAATATTGGGAATTTGGGGCAAAGGTTTAGTTAAATCTACTTGAATTTTTATCAGCTTGCTGTCAAAACTCAACTTACATCTGTGAATGTGGTGACCCACAAGGTTTCAAGGACTAGAAAAAAAAATAAGAAAGAAGACTAGGCTGGGTTGAATTTTGAGAAGGCATGACAAGTACATTCATAGAGAAAAATATTTCCTCTTTCTGAATATTTTTAAATTCAGAGTCTTTCTGTGTTAGCTTAGCAGTATTAGACAAACTCAACAGTATCCCTGTACTTTTATTAAATTGTAAATAGATTGTATAAAAGATTTCTTCTGCATATATTGACAAGAGTATCCAAGATAAGAAAACAGGGGTGCAAATCTTCAATAGTCCCAAGAGATATTGGAACAGGCTGAGAATAATTAACATTTTTCCTGATTAAATACTGCTCCCCATTACTAAAATTTTTGCAATTTTAGTACACTGAACTAGGTTATATATATATTTTTAAATATTTTATTATTTGGGGGGTGTGTGTGTACCGCCAATCAGATCTGACTGGTACAGGAGGAGATTGTTCCTCCTCCTCCAGCAGAGCACCTGGTGGATTTGAACCGTGCATCTCTGGGACTGCAGTTGAACTAGGTTATTTTATAAACAAATGGGGGTAATAGCAGACAGGATCACCCCAGTCCCAATTATGAATTAGCAAGATTCTCATTAATGTAATAATTCTCCAATAATTTCTTATTTGGGATTAAGAGCCGTAATGGGAAAAAGCCTTAGGGATTGTCTCTAGCATTTTTTTAAAAACTCATAGCCCTAGAATCTTCCAAAAGCTTAGTGATATTTCAAGTCTAAACTGTCCTTGAGATCTTTCCATTCAGCCTACTCTAGTCAGATTGGGCTTTCTCTGGGTGAGTAATCATATGTTGTTGTTGTTATGTGCCATCGAGTAATCATATGAACGAACTAATATCTGTCAGGAAGCCCAGTCTTGTAAACTTCAATGAGGATTTAAAATTACTTACAAAATTTTTAGGAGTCTTCAAGTTGGTTTGTGTTTTTCTTTTTAAAATCTTTTAGTCTGCGTTAGCTTGGTTTTCTAGAAAAGCAAATCAATAAGATATATATGTATTTGTGTGATAACATAAAATGTATGTAGATAAATGAGATTTATATCTATTTATCTATGGGAGCTCTGGTGGTGTAGTCAATAGAGAGTTGTGCTGCTATCCCATAACCAGTTTGAATCCACCATCAGTTTACAGGCGATAAGTGGGCAACCTCCTCCCATTCAGAACCCCTATGGAGGGTCCATTATTGGTTCCAACTCGATGTCAATGAAAGTTTGCACCTTTATTTCAGACTCTTAGTAGCTATTCCCACGCACATATTCTTCATGGTTTTGTGTGTATATATTAACAAAATCAAGCTGTTCTTTTGGAGTATAGTGTTCCTGGGTAACAATTGGTACAATTTTGGGACTTGATGGAGTTTAACTCTAGTTAAAGGTCTTTATGTATGTTGTAGGAGGGGCCAGTCACTGGAGAAAGACATCATCTCTGAAAAGTGGAGAGTCAGTGAAGGAAGGAAAGTCCCTCAATGAGATGGATTCACACAGTGCCTATAGCAGTGAACTCTAGTGTGGTAGAGAGGATGAAAATGGCACAGGATAGGGCAAGTTTCAGATTTGATGTTCATAGAATCACTAGGAAGCATATTAAATTCAAAAGGACCTAACAACAGCAACATAGGTCTAGAAGCTAACATGGGTCATGGGGACGGTTCCTGAGGAGGTCTCAGGTAATTGCTCCAGGTTCCACTACTAGGAAAATTTCAGATAAAGATTTATCACTGAGTTAACCTCATCAGGTGAGAATAAGAGAACTTGTTCAGTTGGCAGAACTAGGTTAGAATTTAGAGCTCATTGTCCCCTATCTCCTGATATGTCCACACTCCAATTTTCAAGGTTCCATTTATTTCCAATAAATGACCTTCACTTTAACGTCAGATATATTGGCATTAGGGTTTCAGTTGACTGTCATTCAGTCATTTGTATTAGAGTTTGGTTTTTAGCATTATCAACTCCGTTATTATAATAAATACAATTTTACTTCAAAGCACCATTGGAAACTTTGGAACCTTTTAAGAGATGCTTGAATGCACTGAGCTCATCTCTCTCTTCCCCCCCAACAATTTATCTACAATAAGTAAGACCAACCACCCAGTTCTCTTAACTTTCTCATTCTGACAAAATTTTAGAAAAGTATGTATCACCTAGAGCTTAAAGTCTCACTAATACTCAATTAATAGTGGTCGTATTTTGGGTGTTAATGTTGACACCTCTTGGTACGGATTAGCAGAGCCCTGTTTACTGCTTGCGTCAGTAAACTTCTTAAGTTTATTAAAAAATACTTTTTAAGACTAGTCAGTCTGAAGAACAAATTTTAAAAGCCCATCCTTAGCAGTTTTGGTCATCTAGAACCACTCCTAGTACTGTATGTGTTGAGCTGAGTTCTGTAGAGAAACAAACCAATGAAATTTAAGTAAATTGATGGATCTCAAGGAAATTGCGCGTATACTTGTGCAGGCTGGCCAGTCCCAGGCAGGCTACTGACTTCCAAGGCTGATGAATCCAAGATAAGCAGGCAGTGTGGCAGGTCATGGGCAGCAGTCCAGACGCTGAATGGTGACGAGCCAGATCAAACCGAAACAGTTTTGCTAGATGTCCCTGTATCTTTGATGGGGGCCATGTACCCCGTGAAACTCTTTCAGTTGATTGGCCACTTATCCTTGATGAGCACATGTCATCAAAGAAATTGTTACATCCAATCAGCAAGTCTGAATTCTCTCTCCCTCCCTCCCTCCCTTGTTGTGTGTGGTTTTTTATTCTTCTTAGTCATTAGATAAACATTTGTTGGGTTAGTCACTGTTAAAGAAACCCTAAACTTAAAAAAAAAAAAAAGATTGAAAAAAAGAAAGAAATCCTAAACTTCAAGCTTCTTTCCTCCCAGTAAGAATTACTAGCAAGGATTCAAACCCAGTGTTTCTGAGCCTGACAATTCCTCTAGTCATGGAGTACCCACCAAGGCAGAAAATTCAAGACAAAACACAGAGACTGGCCTGTGGCATGGGGTGAGCCTCCAACCAACTATATGTGAAGGTCATTAAAATCTCCCCTTTTCTTCTGCTTCTTACCCAACTGGCATGCAGGTCCCAGAGCCAGAGCTGTCACCCAGTCCCCCGATCCGTGAAGTCACCACACCAGAGCCAGGAGTCTACCACGGGCTCTGTGAGTATCCGTACCAGGGACAGTGGAACACGGAGTGGTGGTGGATGGGGTGGGGAGAGTTTGACCCCTGGGAACATGGCTTCCTTGGATAATTGAGCAGGTTGTTCTTCGATCAGAAACACCAGGTCAGAGTGAGTAGGGCTGAAACCAACCAGCCTGTGCCTGGCTCCCTGGCCCTGACAGGGATAGCCCTTCGGAGCTGTCTTGAGTTGAATGACAGTAATGGGCTTCTATCAACACAGATGACCATCCCCTTGGGAGTGGTCATGCCTCTGAGCAAGGAGATTCCCTTCAGCCAGGAACCATCGTGTGTGGGAGGTGGGGGTGGCATTGGGAACACATCTGTGCATTGTCAGCCAGCAGCACTCCCAGTCCTGGAAGCCGAATGCTCTAGACAGGGCCTCTCAACCCCACGCTCTCTCCTTAGCCTACCTGTAATCCTAGATCTTCCCAAGGAAGCTTTTCCACTGTCTCCAATAAAAATTCCTCTCTCTAACCCACTCCAAAGGAATAAATGATCTTTAAAAAAAGAGGAAATTGCCTCATTTTGAGTCCTTACAGCCCCTTATAGTTCAGGACCTTCTCTCAATTACATGAAAACAATATAGTAAGTGGAAAACCAGCTTAAATACTAAGCAAGGATCTGGCTGGTGGTTTAGACCATCTCCACTCTGCCACGCTCACATCAGCGGGCCAAACGGGGTGCCAAGGCCTGGGGAGCCGCTTGAGCCCCCTTCCTCTGACCTGACAGTCAATTGGAAGGAAACTCAGTCTCCACTATTTGCAGAGCAGGTGTACGCTGCCTTGGGGCTCTGTCTGAGGACCGAGGATTACAACGAGACTCCTCATCAGAAGTCTTTGTTCGAGAGTCAGGTCCCCCACTAGGCTGCAAAGAAATCAGCAGTCTTTTCTAGTTTAGCTTCAACTCTCTTCCACCTTTTTTTTTTTCTTAAAAAAAAAAAAAGGAAAAAAGGAAAAGCAACAGAAATTTACTTCAAACCAAGTTAAGACAAAGAAAGTAAGTGACTTTGTTGGGTACCAGAAGTCAGGAAATAAGGAGACACATTGCACTGGAAAAATCTGCAGTGAGGGACCTCTCCAAATTATTGAGGTGTAATGATGTCAGTTTGAGGACTAAGGTGCATCTAATTCAGGCCGTAGTCTTTCCAGTCACTTGTTATTCATCTGAGAGCTGGAGAGTGAATAAGGATGACAGGATTGATGCCTTTGAGCTGTGGTGTTGGAGAAGCACACTAAGCATCCCATGGATGGCAAAGAGAATGAACAGAGGTCTTGGAGAAGGTGCAGCTGGAGTGCTCTTTGGAGGCAAAATGATGAGGCTTTGCCTCACGTACTCGGGGCATGTTGCTAAGAAGGGCTATTTTTATGTTGGAGAAGGACATGATGCTGGGAAGGGTAGAGGGTCAGCAAAGGAGAGGAAGACCCTCAACCCAGGTGAATTGACCCAGTGGCTGCTGCAATGGGCTCTTGTGTGTCAGGAAGTGTGAGGATGGTGCAGGACAGGACTGGTTTCAGGTCTTTTGTTCATAGAGTCACTATGAATCATAATGGCACCTAACAACAACAACAACAACATGTGACTAAAAATGTCAAGGTCACTGGTTTCCAGAATGGCTGGATCCAGGTGTATAAATGGTGTCATTACAACTCCGTGTCTCTGTATTTCTGCTATTTATCTCTCTCCTCTTTCTTACCTCTAGGCTCCGTCCACAAGAGAACTCCTAGTAGTTCTAGGTTTATATCCATTTTACACCTGGGGAGGTGGAGGGAAGAGAACATTTATTTCCCAACAGGGCCCAACAGTTGTTCAAGTTAAGTCCCCTTGTCCTAGCCTGGGTCACATCAGAGCTTGAACCAGTCATCATGATAGACAAGGGAGGCAATGAGGTGCTCGAGAGCATGTACTAGCCGGGCCTGGACTGTGTCCCAGCCTGGAGCCAGGTTGAGTGGCCAGCGTCTTGAGCAGTGTTGCCACTTGAAGGAACGGGTTGCTGGCCTGGGAGAAGCAGCCATGGTCCCTTCCGTTTGATGACTTCCCCAAAGATGCCACTCTGTAAATGCCTCTCTCCCACTCAACAGGCCCCTGACCTTTCTCAGAAATGTTAGTTGAGTGCCTCAGGGAATTTTGCCCTGGAGTGGAGCTCAGAGACCTTTCTGGAGAAATGAAAGTCTAATTTCTCTCCTCATTTCAGCAGGGAGGCAGCTGGGCCTCACAGCTAAGTGTCCTGCACTTGTTTTGAGACCTGCGATTTCTGAATCTCTTCTCCAAACCCTTGGTTTTCCCCTCACTGCTCCCAGAGTGAAGCGTTTGCACGCCTCAGCAGCCTATGCAAGCAGAGAGAGCGCCAGTAAAGTGACCGGGAGGCAGGCTGCGGTTGGTAAATACGGCCAAGCCTATTCATGTTTTGAAAGGGGATATATGACTTGCTAATTTGCAGATGACACTAATTTTTGGAAGTTTTGCAAATACCAGTGGTGATGAATAGGAAAGGAGCTGAGAGGCTTGAAGCATGGAAGAGAAATGACAAAATTAATTTCCATTTATATAAATACTAATTGATACACCAGAGAAAAATGAATATGGAACAGCCTGAACTCAAAAAGGAGAGCAGGGACTTTGAAAGCAGCCGCACGTTAGATGTGGAGCTGCAGGGCCTTGCCAGGCCAGCCGACGGTGCGAGCCTCGTGACGCCATCTCTTTTGTTTTCCTAAGAGGAGGTGGTATTTTTCCCTCCACACTGATCCCTCTCATCCAAATCCAGGCTCAGGAGACCGCCACTCTGTCACTGTGGGTCAGAGACCTCTCCCCTCTCCCTCGCTGCCGTATCTAGGCCATTGCAAAGTCAATACCGCCTCCAAAACCGCTGCTGGAGCCATCTACTTCTCCGTCAACCTCCATCACCACCACGCCTGCCCAAGCGTCAAGCAGCTGCCACCTCCCTCTCCCTGCACTTTTCATCTTCTCACCTCCCTGCAGCAGCTGAAGAGCGAGCTTGCCCCAATGCCGGGTGCAGGTCAGAACGTGACGGGAGAGAAGCCCTCCACCGGCATCCCATTGCACGGAGATGAAAACTTACATTTCTGGATGTGAGCTTGTCTCTGCCCAGCTTCCCGGCCTCACCGTGCTCCACCCTCTCTCTTGGTTACCTGATTCCAGACATGAGACACGTTTGTTCCCGTCTCAGGGCCTTTGCCCTTCCAGGCCCCTCCGCATGGAATGTTCTTCCAGAAATGCAAATGCATCGTGGTGAAGGCTTAGCTCCAATGTGCCCTCTTCTCCAGGAGCTCTCCCTGATCACCTCACCCCTCACCTCACTCCCTGGCCCGTTTCTGTCTTACTTGTCACAGATCCCACATCTGTCTTATTCATTTGCTGGGCTCATGTTGTCTCTCTTTCCAGGATCCTATGAAAGCTCTTTTGAGTTCTTGGGTTTTGCTTTCTTGTTCACCCCTCTAAGTGGAACAGGATCTGGTACCTAGTAGATGCTCAATAAACCTGTGTTTGCCATTGAGGAAACTCAGTGGTTTTGTTTTGATCTATTCGGTTACGGCTATGTTCTGAGCAACTACTGTGCAATCAGTCGTGCTTTTTGTATATTAGAAGCCGAAACAGCTTGTTTTGAGCACCTAATTGCCAGACACTGGTCTAGGTTTTCAGGGCACAGCAGTAAATAAAAACCCAACAGACACGGTCCTCAGGAAGCTGCTGACTTGGTGGGGAGACCAAGCTGGTAATTGTAGACTATACTGTCCTGTGTTGGAGGAAGGGTAGCCATGGGGCTCCTTAAAAGCAGGTGGTACAGCTTCATCTCACATACTTGGAGCGTGTTGTCAGGAGGGACTGTTCCTTAGAAAAGGACATCATGCTGGGAAAGACAGAGGGTCCGTGAAAGAGAGAAAGACCCTCAAAGAGATAGATTTTACGCTGGCTGCAACAGCGGGCTTAAACAGGGTGGGGATTGTGAGAAAGTCACAGGAGAGGGCACGACTTCAACCTGTCGTTCACAGGATCGCTGAGTCATAGTTGACTTCAAAGCAACAGCATATTATCACGTACGTCAGTGACTACAACTCTGAAGTTAAGCACAGTGGAAATTATGAGAATGGTGCAAAATCAGGCAGGATTTTGTTGTTTTGTACATAGGGTGGCTCTGAGTGGGACCAGATGGAGGACACTTGGCAACAACAGCAATAAATGGTATTGAAAAAAAAAAGAAACAGGGTAAAGGCATAGCATTTGGTTAGTAGGAGATACCTTCCCTGGGAAGATACTTGGATATAGATGTGTAGTAAGAAATCACGTCCAGTTAGCATTTGCTGCTGAACAAACCAACCCACCGTTCAGTGGCTCAGAACAGCCCCGTGTGCCGAGCTCGCTGTGCAGTGTTTTGGTGGCACTGACTTGGCCGCGCTCTGCTGGGCATGCTCACGAGTCTCGGTCAGCTGGCAGATGGGCTGACGGCCGAGTCATCGAGAATGGGTCACCCTCGTGTCTGGCTCCAGGGAGCTCTTTGCCAAGTGATGGGCAGCTGGACTTGGGGTCTCTCACCGTCCTGCAGACCAGATTGTCCTTCACATGGCTGCCTCAGGAGTCCAGGTGAGAACAGAGAGGGAGAATGAGCTCCAGTTCAGAGAGCTTTGTTGTTGTTGTTGTTGTTGTTGGGTGTCATCACGTCAACTACAACTCATACTGACCCTAAAACGAAAGATCTGAACCCTGCCCTGTCCTGCACCACCATCATGGCATCTCTCAGATGCTTGATCCCACTGCTGCAGTCACTGCGTCACCTATCTCATTGAGAGTCTTCCTCTCTTTCGGTGATCTCCCACCTTCCCAATCATGATGCCCTTTTCCAAGGATCAGCCTCTCCTAACAACAGTCCCAAAGTATCTGAGATGAAGCTTCACCATCCTTGCCTCCAGGGAGCACTCTGGCTGTGCTCTCTCTGAGACATATTTGTTTATGGGACATTCTTCTCTAACTCCACAAGTCAGAGGCATTGATTTCTCTTCTTCTGTCATCTTCATTCATTTTCCAGCTCTCAGATGCACATCAGGTGTTTGAAATGACCGTGACTTGAACGAGCACACCTTAGTCTTTAAGCTGCCATCACTGCTCTGACAGCAGCCTTCTCCAGTGCTTATACATCTGATTTCTTGGCTGCTGGTACCCATGACGTAAGAGATGAGATTTCAGCCCTCATAGCCTTAATTATCTTAACGGGGCAGGTCGATATTTACCAAATATTCCCACGATCACAGTAGTGACCAGGGCTTGGAAAAGGAAAATTTCAGCCACGTGACAAGCTGTGAATGGAGAGTTGAGCTAGTCAAAGAAGTAAGGAGGGCTTCCTTGAGGTAACAGGCTGGGATGAGTACAGGTAAAGCAGGCCACATGAGTAAAAAGGAGATAACAGCAAGTGCAAAGGCCCTGGGGTAGGAGGAAGGCGCGCGTGTGTGTGTGTGTGTGTGTGTGTGTGTGTGTGTGACAAGGAGGAAGACAGCGGGGTGACTGATGTTGGGTGAGTCCAGAGGATTCCTGGTATAAGAAGAGGCTGTAGAATTAAGTAGAGGCCAGAGAAACAAGGCCTGATTGACCAGGGAGCCCCACAAGTTGTGATGTGTGAGATGGATCCACAAGATCTGGTGAGTGGAAAGAATCCAAGGTTATGTGCAGGCCCCACTCATCCTGCAGGTGTTCCCGAGCACCAGAAATGCTCCTGCACAGAAGTCTCTGAGAAGACAGGGGCAGAGCCTGCTCCGTGACCCTCCTGAATGAGACTGAATTTTCAAATGGCTCGAAGGTTGAAGGTGCTTCTTCCCGTCTGCACCTTCCATCTCAGCCTCTGGAACTGCTGGTGCTCACAGGCTCTTCTCTGCTTCCTGTGCCAGGCCTCCAGCTGAATCTCACCGCCTCCTGGGGAGACCTGCACTACCTGGGACTCACGGGCCTGGAGGTGGTGGGCAAGGACGGCCAGGCGCTGCCCATCAGCTTGCACCAGATCTCTGCCTCCCCCAGAGACCTGAACGACCTGCCCGAGTACACTGACGACTCGCGGACCCTGGATAAGTAAGTGTACACGGGCAGCTTTGCTCTCCCCACAGCCAGGGCCCAGGGACCCTGTTTGCATCCTGACCTCATGTGCAGACACCAGCGAGCACTCCAGTGCCCCCTCTCACCCCCACCCTTTGAGGTCTGTGGTCCTCTCGGTGAGAAACCAAGGCTCACGGGAGGGAAATGGTCTCCCAGGGCCACACAGATAGAAGTGGTCAGCAGGGCTTGAAAACGGTTCTGTCCTTGTCAGTGGTGATTCTTGTGTTCTCTGTGATGAATCGTAAGCTGCTCGCTTAGCCCTCAGGAGGGGCGACTCTGTGTTCAGGTGTTAGTGCCTCCTGTCTGCAGCCCCTTGGACATGAGAGCTTTCTCACTTCCTTGAGGCGGGAAGTGACTTGCAGGTGGCCATGGTTGCACTTCCTGTGCACTGGTCAGACTTCACAAACTCATGCGTTATCAAGTAACTAAGGCAACAAACCTCAGATGTGCATTTCTCCTGGGAAATGTGTAACCCATGGATCAGTGTTAGGCTCCTCTGCTCAGAACAGCAGTTGGACTTTGCCTGCAGGTATGAGGGAGAGTCAAGGCACGTCAGAGAGGTGGGAGCCCAGATCCCAGCTCTGCTCCTTGCCCGCTAAGGTTCTTAGCCTCGCCTAGAATGAGAGCAGTGACAGTAATAACGGGTATTATGGTTACCATTATCCGAGCATTTATTAAATGCCACACACTGGACGGTGCTAAGCAGGGTACAGCTACTTGTCCATTTAGGTCACAGCCCATTTTATAAATGAGGAAACATTTGTAAGGGAAGGAAACAAAGTTGAGAGAGGTTACAAGCCAGCTGGAGGTGAGTCCAGTTGCATAAGTAAGGGAGCTCTGGAGGCCTAGAGGCAAGAAGCTGCACTGCAATCCTGAAGGCACACTGTTCGAGGCCACCAGCTGTTCCATGGAACAAGGATGAGCAGTCTCCTCCCATGTGATTAACTGCGAAAACCCACTGGAGGGCCCGCTATGAGTCGGTTCTGACTCTACAGTACAGCAGTAAGTGGGTAAGTAGGAAAGTTGTCATTTGAATACCAGTTTGTGTCATGCCGTCATCTTAGCCGCGGTTTCCCTGTCAGTTGGACGGGACAGCAATTCCCAGGGCTGAAGGAGGAGCAGTTGAGATGGTCGTATTGTAGCTGTGCCTCCAGGCAGAGCGTACACTGGGTCAGTGCGGGGCTTCCCCCACCTCTGCTGCCCTCATCACCTGCCCACCGGCCCCTCCCACCTCCTCATCCTGGCAGGTCACACCCCTGCGTGCTTTCACCTGTAACCCCATGACCCAGCGCCCTACTCAGAAGTGAGGAGTCACAGTCCACTCTCAGCAGCCCTCTGCCCAGGTCAAGGAGCCCTAGTGGCTTGGTGGTTAAGTATTCTACTGCTATAGTCAGTGGTTTGAAACCACGCGGGGACATTCTGGGCGTCCCCAGGATACTGTGAATCAGAACCGATCCCACCCTCGTAACAGGCTTCGAGTCGGTTTGATGCAAATCCCAGACCTGATAGTATTTCATCTCTAAATATTTCAGTACATGTCTCTAAGTAATAAGGACTTTTTAAAATAAAACAATCATTATTATTTATACCTTTTTAAAAAGGTACCATTATTACACCTTTAGCAGAAATAATAGTGATGCCTTCAATTGTCTGTTAGCAGCAAATGTTCCTATTTCTTTTGGTATTTGCATAATTGAGTTTGTGGGTTTGCACTGAGACCCACGTCAAGTCCTTGTGTGTGTTCTGCTCCTGTACCTCTTAGCTCTCCTATGATCCCCCTTCCATCTCTTTTTAATATTTCCTTGTCTTTTTTTTTCTTTTTTTTCTGTTGGAAAACCAGTTCTCTCTGCTGTCGAGTCCTGACTTAGGTGGTTACAGCCCCGTGGAATTGTTGCACCTGTTCCTTGTCCCCACATTTTCTGTAAATGGTTCATTAGAGCGACAAACCTGATCAGATGGAAGTTTGGCTTTTGAGGCGAGACGGCTTCATGGGTGTTGCCACGTGTTTCCGTAAGGATGTTTCTAATGTCTGGTTGTCAGGTGATGGTGAAGAACATTGATTTGCAGAGCCTGGGTCTATTAACTCATTAGGGATCGCAGAATAGTCACATTCTGTTCCTATCATTTCTCTTTCATCGATGCCAAAAAGTCCTTCACTAAAGAGAAAATTTCTCTCAATTGTTCTGTTACCATGAGATACCATTCAAGAAGGAACAGGAAGATACATGTGTGATTTCCTTGCCCCCGCTTTTGTCTGTTTTCACTATAACCAATGGGTTCTAGCATCCTCTATAAAGTGTTTGTTTCTGAGAATCGTTTTAAGCTCGTGGATTTAAATGTCCTGTGCTTGTTGAGTGTCAGTCCGCTGTGGTGATTATCCTTCTCAATAAGGAATAAGGCTGCTCCTTATGAGTGCCCAACCCTTCCGTGGCATGGATGCTTCACCACGTGGACTCTTGAACCTTTTTAAAAGAGGAACCTCTGACAGCTCCCTTGCATTCTGATGTCACAAGGTGTTCTAGCCTCTTCTGAAGCACTTCTTGTCCAAGACATGCAATCAACCACTTCTCAAAATAGCCCTGGTTTAAGATGTGGGTGAATATCCCAAGAGGAGAGAGGAGGGGGAAGTGGGGGCCGAGAGTGGAGACAGGAGGAAATGACAGAGTTGCAGAGTTTTGAGGGGTGGAGGGAGGGGATGGAGGGGAAACAGCAGTGTTCAGGAATGCAACACAATGGAAAAAATTAAACAACAACAAAAATAGTCCGGGTTGTGTTTAGTGGGAAATGGAGATGCCCATTGCTTCGTGGTTGCTCGTTGTCTCGAGGCTGGTTTTGTGGACAGCAGAGGGGAAATCTCATTTAGCTTTTCTTGAGGGTCTTTGTAGGGAGCTTTTCTTCACTGGCAGCTGCACACACGTCAGCCGTTCTCCTTGTTTTCATAATTGATGGTGGTGGTCTGTGCCATCGAGTCGGGACAAACCCATAGCTGACCCTCCAGCAGGTTTTCAGAGAGAGTAAATCACACAGGAGGAGATTCACCATCCTTCTCACATTGAAGCTGGTCGACTTGAACCACATGCCTTTGGGATTGCAGCAGAGCTTCTTACCAGCAGGCCACAGACTGGCCCTCATTTCTAGGGTAGAGAGGAAATTGCTCTTGGAAGAAAAGTAAAAGGTTTCCTGGTGGCCGTCCTCACTCAGTTTAGGTACAGAAATACCCAATGCCGTGTTGTTGGGTTTCCTGTTTTAAGATGCCCTCAGTTGTCAGACATATCACCCATCAATCTAATAACAACCTTTTGGAGACAAAAGAAATATTACCCTCATGGATGAATGTTGAGAGTATAAGAGTTATTCTAAAGCCAAACAGGTAAAAATAGAATACTTTTTTCCCTCTCCATTTAAAATCTAAGAAACATGACAGCAGCCTGAGTTTCAGCCGGTTCAGTACCTTGAGGTCCACCAGGATTCTGGGGGTGTGGAATAGGGGAGGCTCACAAAAATGAAGGGATTGTAGGAGGTCACATAGGAGTCTGGCACCTGAGTCCTTGTCTCTGGGTCAGATCTCAGTGACGTTGTCAAACGTAGGGACCAGGATGAGGACCTGGGTCTGGTCTGAGGCTGTGAGGTTGGCGAGGGCAGTTAGAGGCAGCAAGTCCTTGGAACCACACAGGCAGATTTGAGCAGGATGAGGCAAGATGCCCAGGGTGGGGGTGCGAGATGCTGGGAAGGAAGAGAGTTCACTGTGGTCCAGGTGGCAGGTCAGAGCAGAGGGTGGGCAGGGTGCTGAGGGCACCTTGGTGATGATTGGAGGTTGCCTTGGGGCACCAGCCCATGCCGGACTGGCTCCTCCCCACTGTGCGTGGATCCTGGTCGTCGTCC